TGTCATGTTGTCTGAAACTTGTTTCACTATAGAGTACAAATGAGGTCAGATCCTGACCTGCTATAGAAATAGTATGTGTACTCCTGACTTAGACAGTGCCCCTGGATGTTAAGAGGCATACCATATTGATTTGCCAGTCTTCTGCTGCATCGGAACATATATTTCATGGGATATCTTTGTAGTGTTGTATATTTGAGTTTCTTGTTACTTTTTTTTTCCCAGCAGTCTCTCAGTATTTTCTGATTAGGAAACCTTGCTAACCCTCCACGTGTCATTGTCCATAGGGCTATATAAATGTGGTCTATGTTCAGCAGTGGAAGTTATTGTTAGAGAATAGTCCTGATAGTGCATGGGGAAGAAGCTGTGCATACCAAATGGCAAAATGTGCTCTTTTTTTTTTGTTTGTTTTTAACAAAGCCATACTAATATACTTATCAGTAGGTTTCAAAATGCTTTCCTCACGTAATAAGCACTGATGTCTTATCCACACAGGTCTTAAAACTGAAGTACAGACAGTTTAACCTGACACAGCAAAGTAGGATTTCAGTTTTCTGTGTTTAGCTGTACTGCTTCCATTGTAGTCAATGTTTTACCAGGAATGCTTTTTGAAGAGCTCACCAGTTTCCTTGCATCTGATTACGTTAACATTATCATGTTATCAAATATGGATATAGAAAATAGTGAAAAATATGCTATCAGAAGTATTAGTGCAAAATCATTTATTAAGCTTTCCCTTAAGCTTAAGTCAATCTGTGGAATGATATTTTTGTCCTGTGTTCCTAGTATCAAATGGGATCAAAAAATATTTTCATGTATCATGTAATGCTGAATTGTTATTACAATCAGACCCTTGAGCTATAGGTATCTTTTGTTTAAGAAACTCCTTGAGCTGCCTATCAGTGTGTGCCAATTTGTAGGAAATAAGGATGAAATAAGATTACGGCAAGATGAGACAAAATGTAATCACCACCTTGAAATTTCTCTCTCTCCAACACTGACCCAGACTGTCTCATAACTAAACTCTGTTATAGCAGATTATTAAATATCCAAATTGCTATTTCATATTTGGTGACGTGATACAGTTTTTTCCTACATAAGGAGTTATTTCTCTCTGACCATTTTTTATGCTGGCAGCATAAGCTGCATAAGAGCAGAAGTCTCCCCTTTTCAATGTGTTGATTGCAATTGCTTCTTGATTGCTCTGAATATATGTGTGTGCATATTATACTGCATTTTTCTGGCATACATTTACCCATTAACATATACTTCCTAGAAGAAAAGATGAGAATGGTTATCCTTTTTGTTGTCTAGTTGCATGCTAACGATATAAAGAAACCATTTTATACAACATATGTATTATACACGTTTCTAAAAGCATGAAATAGTTGTGTTCAGCAGCACTAAGATCTAAGCATCAAATAGTAGCTTTTACTTCAAGTATTTAGCCTTGCAAAGTTTCCATAAAACCTTGACTCTCTAGTTTCCTAAAGTTTTCTCTAGTCTTTGTTCATCCACAGCAGCCCAAATGGTCATAAATGATATATGGCCCTTTCAGGGTGGCAGATGTAAAGTAAGGCTCAACCAGTCACTCATCTCCTAGCTGTTCACATATACCAAGCAGGCTGTGAAGCAATTTACATGATAGCAAAGGGCGGTGAGGAAAGGAGAATCTGTCTCCAACCCTGAACTGAGTATGTAAGTGCTTGTCCCCACCTCCTGTATCCATCCCACCCCATGCACATCTGAATATGGGGTAGCTACAGACCTTGTTCTTATGCTCTCATTCAGGGCATGACATCCTTTTTTTCAAGCTCTCTACAAGTGGTGATAGTTTCCCAGTCTGGTAACTGCTGAGTTTGTTCTTCATTAGGCAAGACCAGTTCTCTTCCATGCATTAAGCCCAACTGGTGTTTGTGGTTCCTTTCAAGACAAATTTTTGCTTTAGTACCAGAGGGTATGCAGACATGACAAGAGGAGGCATGTCCGGCTTTAATTTACCATAAAAGCACAGAACAGTCATGTGAAGTTTTTTTAAGGATAAAGTGTTGAAATTGCTTAGTCCACAGGGAGAAAAGACTTCAGAGTATAATGTTCTTAATTGTTTCTAGAAAGGGGAAATTGAACTTTAAAATGTTCAAAAGGAAGCAAATCTTTTAAGTGATTTCAAATCACTGGGGGGCTTTAAAAAGTAATTTCACTGTAACTTGAATTTTAATTGTCTGCTCCTTTCTCTTACTGTCATGGTGTTTTCATCCTGCCTGTTTTCCTGGAAAAGAGCGTTGTTATTACTGTTTATTTTAAGATATCCCTGGAATTTGTCCTGCAGTGCAACAAAATTTCAGGGATGGATATGTTTTAATATTCTGTACTATGAATATTTTTTATATCTTTGCAATTAAAAAAATGAAGTTTTAATGACTCTTCTCCTATAAACCCTGGGCTGCTGCATTTCTAGCTTAAGAAGCTGAGGACAGACAATGCCAGGTGCAGCCAGAATATTGCTGCAGCCCCACATCGTATAATTTTTTTTAACATTATTCAAATTAGTCTCAACACTCATATTTCTGTTGTTTCCTTTATTGCTGTTGTAAAGCAAATGGTTCTTTTATACAAATGTTATCTTCTGGCTATTAATTCAGCAGTTATTTTGGATGATGGCACTCCTGTTAAATTTAGGAATGTAAAACCTCATAAATATTTAAAAGTTTCTAACTGACATGGGAAGAAATTGTTTTTGACTTGCTTTGTTAATATCCTGTTGCTCAGTTCATAATAGATTTGGGATATACTGTTATTTCTCCACTGTTTGAAAAAGGGAAAGACAATTGTAGTTGAGCAACTCCTTCAAGTGTTCTCCCTGAATTGTAACAGACTGGTAAAAGTGTTTGCTTCCAGTAAAAAGCCAGGAAAATATCTGTTTTCTTTTAAGAGGGCAAAAAAATGTGACAAATTTAATTAGAGCCCACTTCAAAGTGAATGAAAATGCAGCAGTAAGTGTGCAAAGCTACTTTCAATAAAACAGGTTCTAGTAGGTCTACCTACAATCAGGTCCTTCTCTTTCAGCATCTGTTACTTAAACTTCTTTCTAAGGACCAAACAAGATTGACAAACGTGTTTCTTCCCTCAGAGACATTCTATGAAGAGCACATTTACTGTGCAAAGAGTGCATTCATAGACTAAATATTAGCATGCATCTCAAGTACCCCCAAAGCTCTGAAGAATAACTGAATGATAAAAAAGTCACAATTTCTGTAAGACCGCTAAAGGTCTGGACAACACAATCCCTGGGCCCAGGTTCCTCCTTCACACCTAACCATGTTTTCTTTCTTTTTTTGCCTCAGAAGTAAACACATAGCTTCTCAGTCACATCTTACAGGGTGTTAAGGTGTAACTCCTGTTGGGATCATCTAGGATTTCAAATGTTTCAAAATATATTAAAAAAAAACCAAAAAAGATGCTGAATTGATTCAACCTGGATAAGTACGCTTGCAGACGAAGTCAGTACGCAGTTAACAGAGCTTACACCTCTGCCTGCATGCTCCAGAGGTGGTTCAGCTGTGTCCTGGGATGACACTTGACTTAATGATTTGATGTATTTCCTATGTCCACTAGTCTCACTGGTGTAATACCATAACTTCTTGTGGTATTGGAATGCTCTTACTAGGTGCTGATCGGCAAAGGCTTTTATTCTAGCTAGTAAATAACACTGCCGTGTTAATACTGTTTTATGTCAGGTTTACATCAGTATAGTTAAACCAGCTTAATCTCTGCATGAAGTAATTATTGAGATGGCATTTTCCCTTTAGCCAGAAAAAGCATTTTACGCATCGGTAACTTGGAGTTAGGATGCAGTATTTCAAAACACAGGTTTTCAAAAAGGAAAAACCACATAAGGTGGTCACATAGAAGTTGCAACTGTGAAGGTGAACTTACAGTTGCATGAACAAATTGGTATTTTATACAAGTGAGTAGCTGCATGTGCCACACCAGCTGAGTCCATGTGATTTTAATGAGTTCAGCATGGTCCAGCTCATGGACTGTGGGCTGGACACAGCCTCTTTGTGATGTTTCTACCTGACGCATCACCTTCTCACTGCGGGAGACAAGGAACAGATGCTCTGTCAACAAATGCAGCCTCCTCCACCTGCCCTCTCTAGGGAGACAAGTGGCAACTCTGAAGGGGCGCATGGAAGGGCAAACAAGCCCATGAGGGTTGTCAGCACCGCCGCCTGGCTCCTGCAGGTGCTGCCACTGGGCCAGCCACAACGCATCTGTGTGCACAACTGTATGCATTAGCCAGTCCTGCACACTCAACTGAGGTTTTGTGTACATGAAGAGCTCTTACAAACAGAACAAAAGTCTGCTGTTACATGGACAAAGCAAAATGTAAGGCTTTTGCTGTTGTTTGTTGGCTTACTACATAATCAGCATATTGAAAATAAGTTTTGTTTTACTTTGAAAAGTATTTCTGCTAGATTTCTTGTAATTACTCTGTTTTTTTTGGTTCTACAGATGTGTAGTAAGCAGTGTAAAGCAAAGGGCACTTTATGCTTACGAATGTAAAGACATTTGGATGAAAAAATTCTGCAGAGCAGTATATTTACTTTGCATTTCTGAATGGTAGCTATTAAAATTCCCAGCTGCTGGCTGTCCAGATGTTTCTTGCATTACAGCATTGTAATTTGCATTGGAATATATTGCATTACTGCAGTAGCTGTAAAGTGGTCAGCTCTCACAGTCTAAACGCTATATATGGGCTCAAGTTGGAATGGTGAGCATATTTCCTGCTCACACCAGGTTCTTCTCCTTCCCTCTGTTTCTCTGCTCATTAGCTTGACGTGTTCATATTTCTCTGATGAAGACTTTTATTGCTCAGCATTCAAATCAAGCAGGGGATGTATTGGCAGGTCAGAACTGATGTATGGATGGTTGCAAGAGTGACACAGAAAACAACTCCAAGTTTTGAATCAGAAGTTTCCCTCTCCTTTTGGCTTTTCCAGGCAGCAAACATCCCTCTGGTGTCAGAGCTTGGCATTGATGACATTCATTTTGATGACTTCTCGCTGGATGTGGATGCCATGATTACGGCAGCCCTGCGGATGTTCATGGAACTTGGAATGGTTCAGAAATTTAAAATTGACTATGAGGTAACCATCTGCGCTGCAGAGAGATCTGCTGCTTTTGTCTTGGCACTGCTCTGTCCATTTGTACACGTTTAGTAACCCTGATACAATTTGTACTTTTCATTTCAGACGCTGTGTAGGTGGCTTTTGACGGTTAGGAAGAATTATCGAATGGTTTTGTACCACAACTGGAGGCATGCCTTCAACGTCTGCCAGCTAATGTTTGCCATGTTAACTGTGAGTATCCAGCTACAGACGCAATCCCACAGGAGCTTTTACTGCCACATTGCTTTACCTGTCTACACATTTTCCAGCATTTGATTTCTTTTTTAGTTATTATGATACTCATTCATTTCCAATAGAAGTGCACACGGAAGCTATTCAACTTAAGGCAGCATATATTTGGCAAAACCTCACAGTGTTTTAGTGACAGTGATATCACAAGCACATTAAAGTGACTGAAAACAGATGGCAGTCTTGGAGTGAGCTTGTTATTATAGATCTTGATCTTACAAAAATGTTTTACTTTTGGAAGTCTTTGATTTGACATTTATTTCGGACTTTTAAATTGGGAAGTACAAAACCAAGGAAGATTAGAATCTCAGAAGTGTTTCCTATGCTTATATTTACTACTTTTCTATCCAGCTTCATCTAACTAATTGTAGAACATACTGCTTTAAAACGTTTTAAGATTATCTTCCAACAGAATGATCTAAGTGAATCTTGAATCTCTGTCAGACACTGTAACATTTCTGAGTTTGATTAACATGTATCTCCATCAGTACCTCTAACTCCTTTCAACACACCAGTAAATTCTGATGCAAGTACCACCACTCTTACTTGCTCTTTCTCCCCTACCCCTCGGCAACCTTGCTGCAATAAATAACCCCCATTTGGCTAATTAATTCTTGTAAATGTGTTGATATAAACCTCGGTGGTCCTGGATGTTTAATATTCTGGTTAATATGGCAAAAGAGAAGCGACATGTCTATGTGCTCACAACACTTAACTGCTGTACTTTGCGTTTTGGGTTTGCCTTATCTCCAGTTAAAAATAAGAATTCAAGTTTTTCCATTTTCTCTTCATGTTCAGTCTTAATGGCCAGTCATCTATTGTGAACCTTAAAGTGATCATGTTAATAGCATTTGTGTAAGTATTTATTTATCTGGAATATCATGTGCTTCTTTCCTAATTCTTGTGTTCTTGTTGATGGCTGGTCTCTGTGGCATGGTTAGCATTTGGACCCTGTTTGCAGCAGTGGAAACCCCACAGCCTGTGCCATTCACAGCATGCATCAGCGCCAGTGTTACAGGGACTTGAGACAACCTGTGGCTTGTTTCCTGCTCACAGAGCATGGGTTCCCAGCTGTCCTCCTCCATTTGGCCTATCTCTGTGGCAGAACTTTTTGTGTCAGGCAAGTTAAAAAAATAAAGAGTATGATGCAAGTAGATGTGGTGTAGTGCTAGGTCCATCCCAGCTATATGGGTTTGTTTCTGTGAGCATTTACGGAGGCGTAACAAAGTTTTACCATACAACATGAGCCAAAGGAAATCGAGGTGTTCAAGAGAGAAAGGTTGAACTTCTGGGTGTGAGGCTGCTCAGCTGACCAGAACTGATGTTGTTTCAGCAGACACTTTCTGATGGTCTCTAATGAAATCGTCTGCCGTTTTTAACTTTTTATAAACTTGACATGCTTTTTTCTTTTCAGTTATGGAAAAATGAAAAGCTTTCTACTCAGACAAGTAAGCGTAAAGTCAGGCAGCACCATTCACCTGGGAATTAGACTAGTTTCTGTCAAATGCTGCCAGCGCATGAGCCTTCAAGCCTCACCCATGAGGACCTCTAGGTGGAGCTCCGAGGCCACGTTTTGGGCAGGCTGTTCTTCGGTGGGAAACGTGCTCTCCCACTAGGCATCTCCATCTCAGATAGCTGTGACTACACTGCCTGCAACAAAGCACATCTCTGTTGCTCCAGCAGCCACCAGTAAAAGCCTGCGAGGTCTCAGACATAAACTGCTTTGACTATAGTTCTCAAAGCATAATTTTGGGTTTCTTTTAGCAGTCGGCACAGGGATGCAACTGTCTGTGGGAGCATTTTCAAGCCTAGCTCATTTTATTTCACACGCTTCCAGTAGTAAACTGAATGAGCAATTCCATGTGCAGGGCTTGGCTGCATGTGCCCATGGCATTGGTCTCACCATGTATCCCACCCCACTCTGCTGTGGCTCTGGCTGAGAACAGAGTGAGTTCAGTGTATGGCCTGCTTGTGCTTTTCTCCCTTCCAGAGGTAGGAAGACTCATCTTGCCAAAAAAAAAAAAGCCAGGCACAAAAGAGAGAGTCAAGAGATTAGTAATAGCACAAGGCTTGCTCTTACTGCAGCTGTCCTGGGGAAACCATCCAAGTTAGTATGCACCTTGTTTATCCACTTGCAAAAAAGGCAAAACTCCTTGACCGTCGTAGAGGGGCTCTGATGGTCAAGAAGGCAGTGTTCTGTGCAGTTATTGCACCCTATTCCTGATTTCTCTACAACAGTCAGCATATTGCCTGCACCACAAATAGAAGCCAATAGGTCTATTTTAGGGCATTTCCAGGTAGGTTTACCATAGCACAATAATGTCTAATCTGTAACGCAGTAGCTTCTAATGGCCCCCACCTGCTCTCACTGAATGCAGAAGGAAAATTCAGCTGGGTTGAAAAGCCAAACAACAGAAAGCAAACAAAGTTTAAACCAGTTGTTTCACCCCTGGATCAGCCTTCTGCATATCTAAGGTATGTTCTTGTTTATCAAAGTATGTATTTTCTATCTCTGGTTAGAGACTGAGCAGTTATAAGCCCAGTCCTGCAAGCCGTACTTCCGTATTTCAGACTTACACAAATATTCTGAAGACAAGGACTGAAGGAAGACTGCTCCTGCGAGTTAAGGATGTCACATGAGATTAAAGTGCAGGATTAATCCCAGGCTTCATTATGAATGCCTTTGCCTAACGCAGCTCACATTGACACTTGTTTCATAAAGTAAAAATGAACAAGTAAGCAATACAAAATTAAAATCCCATCTGCTGTGCTAATAACAAAACATATATATGTGGGGCAAGGTATAATGAATGCAATTCATTTCCTCACATGAAAGAATGACCTCTATAACTCACTGGAGACTCTGCCACTCATGAGTTATGGGTCATTCGTTTTCTGGTGAAAATGAATTTTACTGCACAATCAGCTATAGCCATGTATTTTTTCTCCCTGTGTAAATTCAAAACATGAGGAAACATAATCCTCTATTTTCTTACATTATGGTCAAAGCAGATATCCCCTTACCGTAACACTGTTTTAAATTAAATGTTTTTTATTAAGTGAAATATGCATATTTCTCTCACAGATTCAATGACAAGACCTTTGCTTAAATAAAATCTTGCCTTTATTTTTGAGATATTGCTACTGTTAATAAATTTCTTAATCAGCTTTCCTGTATTTGCAATACAGGTTGAATGCTTGAGTTTAATCAAAGCTAAATGAATACTAAAGACTACTTGTTACACCATCAATTTCATGTTATAAAATTTCTATTTTAAGTTGTTTTAACTTAGCTGTGAACATTTTCTCTAGATTGAATCTTGACACATGGCACGATGTCAGTTACAGTTAATTCCTTTTTAAAAAATAGACCATGATTATTAATTGTTACACAAGAGCAATGTTTAAAAAGTAAAAAGAGAAAACTCTCCATTTTAGACAATTTCCTCTGCCTGGGTAGCTGCTACTGAAACTAAAAAAAGTGATGCCCTAGGAATCAGGAGAATCTCTTAACATTCAAGTTACTCTGTATACCAGTGGATTTTACATGAAAGAAATAATTTTTCCTTATATTTGACCATCTTTTCCGATATGTAAACTTTCGGCAAAACTCTGAAGCTTTTGTAGCAAGTCCTGCACTTCTCAATTCCTGCTGAAATGCATTTCTGAGCACCTGAGGGAGCTTGGCTCCCTGTACTGCCTAAATATTAACTATGGCCACATTTCAGACTATGAAAACAGAGGCTATTTGGATTTGAATGTGCATTTATTTAAGTGGAATTTGTGGTCTTCAAGGTGAACAGAAGAGTTTTCACATGGTATTGCAGCAATTGACTGGCATTTCCGAGTGGGCTGTACGTTCTGCCAAGTACGGACATCAAGTCCCACTGATCTTCACCATCTTTGTATCACCCTCTTCTTGCCAGTGAGTGGAATTATACTCTATTAAAAATCAATGGAATTCAAGATTTCTTAAGTACCATTAGTGTTCACCCTTGGTTTGGTCCAATATAAATCTATTTTATATTTGTTTTATACCATTTCCTTTCATACTAACTAGATTGTGTGGCTAGTTGAGGAGTGTAATTAGAGAATGGCGCTGTGAAAAGACAAATGTTATGATTTTCCAACTCAGCCAGTTATTTTTGCAGGCAATATGTCCTTATGCTTCAGAAGAGGTGAAGAACCAGGTGGTTTGATGGTTAGATGGGCAGCACCAATGAGGTGGTGTCCCACTCAGGCTCCAGCACCTCCTCCAGGCAAGATCTGTTCAGGATGCTTGAGGTTAGCAGTAACAGTAGTGTTTATTTTCTGAGATGGGGCAGTTCAGGCAGGAAAACTGCTGTGGCAAGTATCCACATGGAGAAGTATAGTGGCAAAAAATGTTTGTAGGATGAGCCTCCGCCTTCACATGGTCATATCTGGTCTGAGCTGCTCATGGGAAATTTCAGTACATCAGTTTTCAAAATTCTTTCCCGAATTCAAGTAGGTATCTGCAGCAGAAATATGCCAGATTTCCTCTTTGAATCATATTGCTTCATTTCGTATGTCCCAGATAAAAAATTTCTTAATAGTTCATAACAGTTCCATAGAGCATATTTTAGCTGGCTTCCTTTATAGGTCTTTTGATTTAACATCTTGGCTATCTGTGACACTAGGGATTGACCAAGATGGTCACCTCATGATTGAAGAAATCTGTCTAACTACTCCTCTGAACAATAATTTCAAAATGAAATGAATTTTGTTTTTTATTTCTCTGATATGAAATTCCAGTTCCTGTCTTAGTGTGCAGTTATTGGTGTTTGTCTTCAGCTCTTTTTGCCTTTAGTGACTTCTGGGAAGTAGAGAAATGACACGCTGGAAATGCAACAGAGAGATAGTAACAGATCACTCCAAGGACGTTATCTGTTCTGCTAACCATCTAACATACAGCAGGGAATATAATATGACAATAAAGCATTTATCTTCTCCTTACTGAAACATTCATGGTATCAAAACAAACTTGACTGTTGCTCGATGGTCTAACATTACTTATCGCTTTCGATACTGATAGTTACAGCTGCTATTTTTTTTCTGCCCTCAGACCGCAGGATTTCAGGAGATTCTAACTGAAACTGAAATTCTAGCTTTGATTGTGGGATGCTTATGTCACGACCTTGACCACAGGGGAACCAACAATGCCTTCCAAGCCAAGTAAGTTTTCTAATTCTTATTACTTTAATTTGGTTTTCTTCCACAGAAGAGCAAAAAGTGACCAGGATAAAGAATGAGGGATTAATTTCAGGTTTCCTGGGCCAAGGCCAGCTATTCTTATTCTTGTATGTAGTGAGGGATTATCCATCTTTATCATTCTCTATTCTTTTGGATAATTGCTGGCTTGTCATGTGTATTAGGCTGTTGAACTGACGCTGTGTATTGAAATGTGGTGCCAAAAGTTGATGTTCTCTTCAGGCTTGGGTATTATTGATTCTGGTATTCAACCCAGGAAAAAATGGAAGTGTCTGTCTGGGTTGCTCCTGCTTGTTGGAATGCCTGATGTTAAGCAAAAGCTGTTCAACTATTATGAAGAAAATATGTAAAAATGAAATAATGCTTTCACAAAAAAAAAAACTTTTCACACCAGCGTAGGCAAGCCGACATAAATTCCTGGTTCTGATACATATCATCCACAGCAGGTGCCCGGAGCAGTTGTCTCACCACATACTCATCAGTTGTGCAGCATGCAGTGTCCCTGGCCAGTAGAAATGCCTCCTCCCTGCCCTGTCCCACACACCAAAGCACACAGAGCCTGTTCAGAGACATGCTGCAATGGGTGGGGGGGGTGGGGGGACTGGGCACCAGAACATGAAGCTGGATCTCAAATGCAGATTCTTACCTATGTGAAATCTTACTCTCCAGGCTGTTTTCAATTCTAAAAATGAATTTTATTCTATTCAAAGTGCCTATGACCTGATTCACCTGCCATGACCTGAATATATTTTTGCTGTCCAGTCTGCTGCCCTCAGATACAGTGAGGTAGAAGCAGGCTGTGGAAGTTTTGAGGGTTCTTCTTACTGTGGTGGTGAGGGAACTCCCTTAACAGAGGTCAACTTCTTTCCAAAATCCATGTTCCCTGAGAACAGAGAGGGACAACAAAAAATACTGCCTGACAACATCCTGGCCGAGCTGTGAAACAAATCTGTCAGACAAAGTGACTCCTCCAAATCCTGTGTTGTTTTCTCGGCTTCCCAGGTCTTCTACAGCCAGAATAGAAGACTTTTAGGCTCTCTTGTCCTGCAGATCCCGTCATGTATTTTCAGCTTTGTGTGTTTTGCATTACTGCTAACCCTTAGTGTGATAGGAGAAGCGACCAAATGGTTGTCTAAAGATACTTGAAGGGCAAGGTGATGTTGCATTAGCCTGTTTTGTCGTACCTTTTGCAGAAAAACTCTGCTGCACTGTGTGTATGCATGGGCTGCTGCATTTCTGAGGGCAAGCTGCCTCAGTGAACATCACTCAAACTGATGTTTCTGATACTCACTAAGCTGCCATTTCCTGAGCTATTGGTGTTGCTGTACAGTCTCAATGAAACAATGACACTGTCTGGATCTTCAATCACCATAGCAAGGAAAATCAATTGCAGTGCTCAAAAGACAGAGCTTATGGTGCAAAGGTTACCAAGCACTGCTAGATGCCTTTTTGCAGCTGAGTCTTGAAGAAAATCAAAAAAGACGAGACAAATAGGAAGGAAGCTCAGCTGATTGATGTTTACATTCCTAATTTAAAAAACCCAAGACCGAAGATTTACATCCTGACTGTTTTAGGCTCTGATTAAGTTAACCACTTCTCCACTGTAACACTACTTTTGTGTAGAGGGGTGGCTGAGTTAAAGGCAGAGGTTTCGGCACTAGACTGCTATCACTTGTTTGACAGCAGAGTACGAAGAGGAGGCTGCCATTTTACAACTCCATCAAGAAATTGCCGAAGACATTTAACAAAAGACAAACATTACCACACATGCATAAAACATCCCTGAAAACAGAAGCTGTAGTTTTCATAACAGCAGCTATGATTTATTCCTCTAACCTGACATAAATTTAAGCATCACATTTTCTTATTTTATCTTCAGTGTTTAATACTGCTGTTCTGTGTGATGAAAGTTCAAGAGGTATATGATGGAGGCAGTATCGCAGTTGTCTGAATTGGCTCTGCTATATATCTCAACACCATATTCTCGAGGGATGATGTTTCCTGGACATCCTTCTTTCTAATATAGCCGCTTCTGATAATTAAATATCAATATGATGCAGTTTTATAGTATATGGTCCTAGGAGCCTCTTTCTGTTTGTCTCTAGTGTAATAATCTCTTATTCTCATTTCTTTGGAAAGAAAACCCATGTTGTTGCTTTAGATCCCAGAAGTGAAGTCATGGTGAATGGTAACTATTCTGACAATCCAATCCCATTCTCTGCATCTCCTAATGATTCACAATTTTATAATTGTATTCTATAGATTTTTTGTTCTTCAGACTTAGAAAACTGACCTGCTTTGTGCATTCCGAAGCTAATTTTGGTTTAGACAATAAACATGCTGAGAAAATACATTCCAAAAGATGCTAAACTTTACTTTTATATTCACTCTTATCACTTGTGGGTTTTTGTTTACCTTTGTATTTTTTTTTATAAGTGCAGTATTTTACATGCAGACAGAACCTCACTGCATTTGCAGTTGATTTTTTGTTGCTGTGTTTTGGATTTTCTTAAGAGTTTGCAATCACCTATTGTAAGCCATTGTGTTTATATCTATTAAGAATTAAAAACAGTAGCAAAACAGCCACTCCTAGCTCAGGGATGTTACTGTTTGTCTTTAATGCGCAGTGGTGTGCCTGTGCTGTTGCACTGCAAGGCACTTTGAAAGTTACATTACAAAATTTCATTCATTAGTTCCAGGAAAATCTTTAGTCAGCGGATAATATTTAGCAAAGTCTGTAACATAAATTCTTTGTCTTTAAATTAGTATTTTGATCTTGTCAGCTCTCTGTGGTTGTTGAAATGAAGAGGGAGCATATAGCTACATGCTTTTGTTACTAAACTATCTCTGAAACCTGCTTTGTAAACAGACACGTGCAGTATTTGTTGACTCCCCATGTTCTGTTTCAGGAGTGGATCAGCCTTAGCTCAGCTCTACGGCACCTCTGCTACCTTGGAACACCACCACTTCAATCATGCTGTCATGATTCTCCAAAGTGAGGTACAAAAGCGTTACTATTAATCTCACTGTAAGGTGTTGGGAAGTTTCAGCTGGAGAAAGGAAATACCACACACAGTACCTTTTTAATGCCCTCTCCTTGAAGAGTTATTTATTGGTTACCACAAGGTCACAACTAGCATAAAATTAAACAACTACAAATGCTTATCATAGAGCCCAGAGATTGTATTTGTCTCAATCAGCTAGGGGCAAGGCGGACAAATCCTAACCGTATTGTCAGCTTTTCTCAGCCTTTTTACATATATCCTGCACAATGGTTTATAGATAGGTGAAACAAGCTCTTACATTTCCACACAGGTCTTGTATTCAGAGTATCACAGTCATCCTTGACTGGACAAATTTACTTTATTTGACAGTCTTTTTGTAATCAGTATTTTCATGATAGTTTTACATAATTTTTCTTAATTATTTATGAAAAAATATCAGTAATATCATGCTGTCTAAAGTACACTAGTTGTTTTGCAGATAGATATAAAGACATATTTCTTGTCTAGAGTATCTTATGTGTAACAGTATGCAGCATGCACTACCTCAGAGATACAGTGAGAAAAGAAGGATGTGTTTTCTGATTTTACACAGCTAGCTTGTTACAGAATGCATCCAGTATATATAAAAACAATAATGTCATGCATACAGCACACTTGGAGACCATATGCTAATCTGCAGTAATTTTTGAAGAGCATCTCGGAATGTCCCATGGTCACAAGTGGAGACAGGGTGATGGCCTTCCCTCTATGTACAGAGCCACAGAGATTAGTCATGGGACTGTGGCTTTTACTAGACGTCATATTAAAAAAGCAGACGGAGGACTGGTATGAGATCTAAATAGCTCAATCTGCTCAGCCTAGACTAGCTTGTCTAAAAGGTGATCCCAGGAATTAAATGGTTCCTTACACTACCAGGGAAAGGCATAAGAAAAAACAGCATTTGAAAGTTAAACAGACCAGTTTAGAATAGGAAAAAAGAAGTTTTGTTTTGTTTTTCTAAACCAATGAGATTGTCCAGTCCCTGGAACAAGCCTTCCTGGGAAACAGTGATTTCTCTGGTTCCTGAAATCTTCATTGTAACTGAATATTTCTCTGAAGACAGGATCAAGTCTGAAGACAAATGCAAGTTAAATACAGGTCCTCCCCTTTGACCATTCAGTCCTCACCAGGTCCTCATTTCTAGACCAGAAAAATAAACCTACGTGATTTTTAATTCAATAGATTGTATTTGCTAATGGGACACTGCACTTTTTACTTTGGATCCTACAATTTATTTAAAGATACACCAAGATTCACTTAAAAATTCACCAGCTGAGCAGTCAGTCTCCTCTCTTAAATAAACTGAAATTAATTTATATCCTATTTGTTAATAAATAAGCTTTAGATTCTTAAATCCTTCTCAATATTTAGGTGAAAAGAAATAATCATTTCATTGTCACAGCAGAGATCATCTCTTATGAATGGCAAAATATTTTTTTAGTCCAAACACTACCTGATCTATTAAAAAATACTATCTCTACCTCGACGTTACCTTGACTATGTCCTCAGACCACCAGAGTCATAGCAATCCTCCTGCTGGAAAATTCTTGGGTTTAAGGGCATTTTAATCTTCCTAGGCAGTAGGTGGCAGCGCATACTGAATGTGGGCATTACAGGGCTAAATATCACCAAAATAAAACTCTTTAGCAAGAACCTCATTGTTTCTACAGGTGATTGGGGGGGGGGGGGGGGGGGGAGAAAGAAAAGGGTAGTGCTTTTATTTATGTCAATTTAGTTACCTGTGACTAATGTCACAAAGATCCCTTCTTCAGCTTACATTTAGAGTTTTCCATTCAAATTGTTTATCTATTTTCTCTAGGATTTCATAAATGACAGGATCTCTGTCCCTCTCAGTTTTCAGAAATGCAGTTACAAATGGACCTTCCTGCTCTCAAATACCAATATTAAATAATTTGTTTCATTCTGGCCACAGAGCACCTTTCAAATTCTTAATCCACGATCCCTTAAAAAGTAGCCTATCTGGCCTACAAAGGGCATTTAAACTGCATAAAGTTGTGGGGTTTTAGTCTGCATAGGCAATGCTTGTATACACTGTAAGACAACGCAGTAATGGGCAGAGTGAGCACATGGACTGTTTTGAACGAAAAACTGATTTAATGTCTTTGACTGCTCTAATAGCAGTTTGTGTGCCTGCAAGCAACAGCACAGATAAATCTATTAGGCACACAACTCAAAAGCTGCAAGACATTGCTACCCAAAACATTTTATAAGAGAAAAGATTGAGATGTGTCCATAGTTTTTCCTCATAAACTGAATCTATGCAGGGTCAGAGCAAAGAGTAAATCTTTCCTCAAGAGGCTATAATTTCAGCAGAGTTTAGAAAAACAGTGCAGGCACTTGATTACAATTGTCAACTCTTCCACCCCAATGTAATCTCAGCAGTATTAACATTATTTTTTTTGTCATAGTTTTGCCATGAATCAGAAAAGGCCTCTGTTAGAGGGAAACAGTAGACTAAAGAGTTAGAAAACCTTTTAAAAACATTTATTGATTGCTAGCACTTTACCTCTTTTATCTCTTTCATTATAGGGTCACAACATCTTTGCTAACTTGTCCTCTAAGGACTACAGTGACCTTATGCAGCTTCTAAAGCAGTCGATATTGGCAACAGACCTCACTCTGTATTTTGAGTAAGTATTGGCATTTCTCGTATTTGACAAATGAAAATTCAAAGAATTTACTCTAATGACCTATTAAATACCAATAAGGGTATATAATATGAGAAATTAGTGTTTCAACCTGTGGTTGAACAGATTTAGTCTAATACTTAGTATATCTTGTGCACTTGAGATATTCGTATTAGACTAAGTAAGCTTTGCATTTATGTGTAACATGACTGCATCAACAAAAAGCAAGTGAAATTCTAGACTTATACTTTAAGCCAGTTACAGCTCAGTGCTGTAATTTTCTATCCCTTCTATGATAATTCCTTGAGGCATCTATAAAAAAAAATAACATTTTAATTCTTTTCCACCATTTCTGTTTCTAAACGTGTGCTAAGAAATACTGTATTTAGTTACAGACCCAGCTGCAGAGGTAATGAAAGCATACACATTGCTGTTTTGAAGACAATTTATGTAAATTTGCATTACATGAGTATAGGTCTTAAAAAGCTTAACTCAAGAGACTCTCTTTCATCCAGTTTTCTTCCTTTTCCTTGTTTACAAATCAAATCTGAAAGTAGACTTCAAATTGGTGGTATTTTATGCTTTTCAAATACTGCTAATTATTACCAAGTTCTCCCTAGTAAGTATGCGTGTGACTGTACATGTGATCAGAAGAATCATGGTATCACCAGCACACTGGGCTTTTGACATCCCCCTCTGGCACAGACAGTCTGACTTACAGGGAGAAGTGCTGCTGGATGCACAGTTTCTGCATACTACCTTCCTAGTCTTGACAATAATTCATCCTTCGGATTTTTTTTATGTCCATTAGTGTCCTCTCCTGTATAGTGCCAGTAGCATTTAGTAATGTTTTCCTTTGGGTGGTATACCTGGATTCGGTCCCTCCATTGTGCTCATGGTTGATACCAAACTAAGTTTCCAGAAAACAAGTAAAGTCTACACCTTGAGATTGTTCAAATATCTATATCAACATTGTGTCTTTAACTGTTAATTGTAAAAATACTGAGATGCTGCAATGTTTACTTTGTCTTTTTTTCCGCAGTATTTGGTTACTGTGCCAAGGGCCGTTTCTAAACAGTACTGGCAGTAGGCATGCTGACATTTTTTGTTTCCTGCAACTGTTGTCAGAAAAGTTGTATTAAGAAAGGCTTTTAGTGAACAGTTTTATTATAAATAACTTCTAAACATTAGAACATTAGAACATAGTCTATGAAGAAATTTCTCTTGCTGACAGGAAAATCCTGAGTAAAACTAATAACCCCTTTTAAGGTTTAGGGTTTTGAAGCTGTCTGTTAGGATTGCTCTTTACCTGGGTGGCTGGTATGATGGGAATTTGCTGACAGCTTGAAGTGAGATAAAAGGACCACAGGGATATATGAGTATGGGTTTTCCTGTTTCACCACAAATAACAAGTGCTGCAGAAATGTTTTGTGTTGTCAAGGAAGAGATGAGTGGCAGGAGCTGAGAGGGCGACTGCCCTGGCACAGCCCCATATGTTCCCCCTGCCCAAGATCCTGCAGCCCCTGAAAGAGCCAGAGAGGGCCCATGGCAGTGTCCTGGGAGGAAACCCAGTCCAGACCCTGATGTGACGGAACTCTCTTCTCTGCCTGCCTTAGGTTGAAAAACTCCATGGCCAAGTTGTCTTTCTAGTTTTAAATCAGGGAAATAATGTCCAAAAAAGGAACATCAGGTGAATTTCAAGGTTATTTTTCTTTGCTTGCATAATTGATTTTATGTGCTACATGGATCAGAAAACTTTTAGCAAATGAGGCCTCTTTACTCAGAAGTCTGCAAATGAGTTATCTTTTCCTCTAGTGTTATTATGATTCATTAATCTGGTAGTTGTTATGCTACTTTACTTCCAAAAGTGCCTAAAAATCACTCCCTGGAAACAATGATTTACAATCCTTAATGCCTCTCTATGTTAACAGATGTTTCCACACAAGTACCTTGTTTCTTCAGTTTGCTACATCTTCAATACTCTTGTAGAGGAGGAAATTCTTGTATCAGTATTCTTAGAATGCCTAAACCTAATGATAGCAAACTCCAGCTTGCTAAACAGGAACAAAACTCCAGGCAGACCAAAGCTTTAGAACCTTCTCAAGACACTACTTTTCTACAAACAAAGATGGTTTTCAGTGAAATACCAGATGGAAAATATACTTCTTTTTAATAGATAATTCTAGATAATGATGCTTGTAGATAGTACAAGAAGCAAAAGTATGGAACCAAAATGAAGTTTATGGAAATTCACCCAAATGATGTCTTGAGCCACTGGGCTGTAGAGCAACTGGATTTGCTATATATAGCAAGACAACTTTCCCTTCCAGGCAAAATCTAGCCAGAGTTAATGTTACTCAAAGATATTACAAAATTGTTATAATTCTGTTTATTTCTGAAATCCTGGTGTATTATGTTTGCTTAATAATAGCAAACCTCTTCATTTTGGATACCATGCATAAGCAACCAGTAGGAAACACAAAATTTTTCCTTGTACCATGGATGCTTTCCTCAGGCTAACTCCTTCCTACACTAGAAATTCTCTGTGGAACTGGACTACTCCTCCTGCATTCATTTAAATGGATTTCAAAAGAAAATTCTTATTTTAAAGTTTTTAGCCTAACATACGGCCTTGAGACTCACGTTTTCAGTTACTGTTTATGGATCGCTCTATTTCAAATGTGAATGTTTGAAGTTTCTGAGATGTCACCTTCCTGAGCTTTCAGCTTTAAGCGTTTTTACCTGGTTTTTGTCCATTAATATATGAATTGCCCAGAACATCTAATACTTCAAATACAGCTACAGGTTGGGCAGAGAAGAGATTCAGAGCAGCCCTGCGGAGAAGGACTTGGGGGTGTTGGTTGATGAGAAAATGAACATGAGGTGGCTTCAGTGTGCGCTTGCAGCCCAGAAAGCCAACCGTATCCTGGGCTGCATCAAAAGGAGCATGACCAGCAGGTCGAAGGAGGTGATCCTGCCCCTCTACTCTGCTCTCGAGAGACCCCACTTGGAGTATTGTGTGCAGTTCTGGTGTCCTCAACATAAAAAGGACATGGAACTGTTGGAACAAGCCCAGAGGAGGGCCACAAGGATGATCAGGGGACTGGAGCACCTCCTGTATGAAGACAGGCTGAGGAAGTTGGGGCTGTTCAGTCTGGAGAAGAGAAGGCTGCATGGAGAGCTCATAGCAGCCTTCCAGTATCTGAAGGGGGCCTATAGGGATGCTGGAGAGGGACTCTTCATTAGAGACTGTAGTGACAGGACAAGGGGTAACGGGTTAAAACTTAAACAGGGGAAGTTTAGGTTGGCTATAAGGAGGAAGTTCTTTCCTGTTAGGGTGGTGAGGCACTGGAATGGGTTGCCCAGGGAAGCTGTGAATGCTCCACCCCTGCCGGTGTTCAAGACCAGGTTGGATGAGGCCTTGGGTGATATGATTTAGTGTGAGGTGTCCCTGCCCATGGCAGGGGTGTTGGAACTAGATGATCTTAAGGTCCTTTCTAACCGTAACTATTCTATGATTCTATAAATCATTACCAAATTTTGCATTGTTAGATTGGGCACTGAAACACAGGATGGAAAAATCCACTGCTTGTTCTCTTAGAGTGTCTAGTTATTGATGATCTGGTCAGGGTTAGCCTGGTTTTAGCTTTATGTGCCAACTACTCTTGGCCATTAAGATTGTCATCGTTGCAGTAGTTATTTTCACTGGAGCCATGATGCTATGACTTTGTGTCAGAGAACTGAGTTGTTTTCTGCATGTGTGGCTTTGCATTGTCCCAGCAAATTTTGTAATGTGAAACTCCTATATCTTATTTCATGAAGGATTAGATACCATTATGTATCCTTATATCTCTCTGCTCTAGCTGCTGTTACGAAATCAATTATAGAAAGGCCCTACATTAGCAGCGACTGGTGGTGATGCAATGTATGACAGTCAGGAACCAGAATAATGGAACATATTCCACATAAAATACTGTCCATTGAGCAAGGGCAATGTTCCTGGCAGTGTGAATCTCCTCGGATATAAAACCTGTGCTGGCTGCTGTCAGACTATTTTCAATAATCACTGTTCAAAATATGATGAAGTTAATGTAGAAAATAAATACAAGACTCTGCAAACTCACTCTTGGGGAATCGAACTACATTTTCGGTTAACAAAGCATCTCCTATGAGATGGGGCACTGGACTGTTACTCAGAACACAAGTATCTGCTTTCCAGCTTTGATGCTAATACGTTGTGTGGGCAAGTTGTTCCATATTTTTATACCTCAAATTCTGCTATATCTGGGTCAGGATCTGTTTCATATTGTAGTCATGCTGCATGCAGTAAGAGCTGCTCAGAGTCTCAGTGCCATAAAAAGTTACAGGCTATGGTGAGTCAGAATTTTGCTACTAAAAGGCACCAAACAAGCATTAACATGCCCTGGCTCACGTTTTGTCCCTCTTTGAGGACGCAAGGAAGATATTCAAGAAGACAAAGCACGGAACCAAGCAGGGAGACCTAGTTTCTAGTCAATTAAGAACTACTAACGTGAAACATCTGCAGCTCCTGTGTCTCACTGTTCTGTTCTGTGTGCTGGAAATAACGGGAATTGTGCGTCTCTGACAAACCCTCCGGGATAATGAAGTAAAAGCCATTTTGCAAAGACAAGTAAAGAGAAGTGTGTAAATATTTCAGGGGTGTTTCTATTGTCTGTCCACTGCTGTAGCTGAACATTTCATGCTTCCATGGATGACTGAACATTTTGGTACCATTTATTTCCTTATCTTCAGAGACCATAAATACAATATTGCTTTTACTAGGCAACTCTGACATTGGTAACAGACATTTATAGAACATGTTCAGATATTAGTATGTTTCGCTTAAATGGACTGTCAGTATAATGACTTTAAAAATAATACATGAGGTGCAATGATTTCATGTCATCCAGAGAACTGTACTTCCACTGCAGTGTTGCCCTGAAAGTGTCATTTCCTTCTCTGATAATCTGTTTTGTTGCAGGAGAAGGACCGAGTTTTTTGAACTTGTCAGTAAGGGTGGTTATGACTGGAAGACAAAAAACCACCGAGAAATATTTCGGTGAGCACTACTATTTCTTGCTTTCTGGTTATTTCAAAGTAAAGCCATATTTGTTTAAGGAATTTCATATATCATGAAGACTTAGAGTAACAAGATAAGATAGCTTGTTTTAACTATATGATTCATGATAAGAAATATATGGTATGATTTCTAAACATTACCAAACAGCAAGGATGTAATCAGTGTGACCTCACCTTCTCCATTCCTGTTTCTGCCTTGACACTCTGTCATGTTTTCTTCCCTTTCTCCCAGCCTCACCAGTTACCGCTCAGCCCTTCTGCTCTTTCTCCAGAAAGCATCAGTATTCTGCCTCAGGACACAAAGATCTTTCTTGTCCCTGTTCCCTCCTCCTCTCAGCTGTTTTCTTTCACTGGCCATGCTTCTCTCTGCTCTTCTAGTCTGTACCTGGGAATTTGCAGATACACGGTACTCTTCTAGCCCTCAAAAATGATCTGAACATGCATCCTATTGAAAACCTCAGACATTGTGGGTGGTTTGAGCATACCAGGCTTTTGAGACAATAAAATGTGTGCATTTGCATATGCATGCCTGATTATGTCTCATTTTATCTGAAATTTCATTTGAATTCCGTTTCCACTTGGTCTTTTGACCAAAACATTTTCTATTTTCCATATCATTTCACCCATTCCTAATTTTAGATTCAGGCAATATATTTGATGTTTCATTTTCAATGCCCTTGTTCTTCATTTAAACTTTCTTAGACTTTTATCTGCATCATGTACTGTACATAAACGCTTTCTACAGCTGAATGGTTTCTTTCTCCTAATGCATATAAAACGTGGCTGTAGCTGGGTATTAAACTACAGTGGAACAGTATAGCTCATAGTAAATCTTAAATTTTTATTGTAGATGAGCAGTAGAAACTGCTTAAACAGTGTCTGGGTTGCCTCCTGTGATTATAGGTTCTCTTGCTACAGCAGTCACTTTTACAAATAGGCATATAAATTAATCCAGTTTGCAGGTGTTATTATATAATAATACCCTTAACTTACATCATGTGAAGCACATGCTTTCCAGTATATTACAGGTATTAATGTAAGCAGTGTTAGAAGTACTGCAAAATTAGCAGTTAACTCCCTCGCAATATCATTTCTAGCATGCAAAGCACAACACCAAAATTCATCATCTGATGACCTGCAACACATTAGGCTTCCTAGGCACAATTGTGATGCAAAAGCCATGCTGATGGCTGAGATTTCAAACATGTCATTCTTTTCTGGAGGTAAAGATGGTGCCAGGGCTGACATTTTATATATGTATTATTTATTTATGCACTCAGAGCAGAGTTGTTTAGAAATACAACAAAGGTTGATTCAGCTTGTATTGTTCATTTCTGTTTTTCAGATCAATGCTAATGACAGCCTGTGACCTTGGAGCTGTGACCAAACCGTGGGAGATTTCAAGACAGGCAAGTCATGATTAATAGCAGGGCTGGGAGGAGGCGGGACTGGCAGGACAATATTCCCAGGGCCCTGGCTTACAGGGGACCAAAACTGGAATCAATTTACAGCGGTATTAATGCTATAAAAAAACAGCAGGGGGTTTCTGCAAGAAATGGTTTATTGCATAATCTTTCCATGTACACATGCTGGTGAGCAGCATGTAGGTACCTGAAGAGATCTGGCTTTACAGCCTCTTCTCTTATGAACCTTTTAAATCCATATTAAAAAAAAAAAAAAAGGATTAAACAAAAAAAGCATTAGCCACATGTAGATGCATTTACTTGGTTTTGTCACAAAGTTCTCCTTGGCAGTGGCAAAATCTTCTCTAAATCAAAAATTCTAGCAGATGATTTGCAAACACTGATTAACATAAAATATTTGGTATATATGAGAGGAGACGTGGTCATTTTCTCAACACTAAGGGGAAAAAAAAGTGCAAGTGTAGCATTGAACCTTTTTTAGCATGCGCTACTTGGAAACAAACAAAAATTCACGCTTCTGCTGAGTAGGTTCCTTAGAAATACACATAATGCATATCTGTACATACATAAATATATACATACATACATAAACATACATTTATATACAATACTCCTAAATACACATGAAACTTGGGTCCAGCATTGGCAAACAATTACAAATGTGAGAAAGCAAGCTGTCCCAAAAGTCTTGTCCTTTACCACATGATTTTCCCTCGTCTAGGCATCTTTCCGTACTCGGCATCCATCCTTATTATCTCCTGTATCCATGCTAATAATTCTGTCCTTTACTGAGGTCCAGAACAAGCTAGTATAAAGCAGGATGTGTAGGGTTTTGAAAGAATATACAGCATCAGGAAGAGAATATGATATATACCAGTGCAGCTGAGTGTCACTAAGCACCTGGAGGGAGCTTGATTGGCTTAACAGCAAAGTGATGGTTAAAAAGATGTGAAAAAAAGAAGCTAAACCAGATAAATGGTGAGGCAGGAGCAGATAGATTTCTTGGGGAAGGACAAAGATGTAACAGGAGCTGAAAGGGACCTACAACTGTTACACGCACATTAACTCAGTAAAAACAAAAACCAAACCACACTTATGTGGTGAGGGCTTCAGCTCAGCTTGCAGCTTTGTCAGAGATTTTCTTGCTTTTATAAACAGAGCGTGACAACAGTCCTTCTATAAGGCTGTTACTCTACTTTAATATGGTCATCTCCCATGGAAATCATAGAAGTTGCTTGTATCCTGGGAAAATGAGTCACAAGATTTTTCAGTGTCACCTAACCACAACTGCAGTGTGTGCACTCCCTCCTCAATTTTCCTCTTTAACCCAGTTAGCTTCTCCCTTTTCTTTGACAGCCAAAATGTCAGGTAGGGTCTGTTTTCCATGTTGTCAGTCTGTGCTCTGGTGCTGAATTAGTGCAGAATTCTCTGACAAGCTGTTGCTCGGAGTTGTTGGTTCCTTTTTTTATTCTTACCGCTTTTGAAGTCTGCAAGTGAAAATTCATCTGCAACCTGGTGCATAACCTGAAACCTGCAACCAAATCAAAGGTTCCATTTGAAACACTACCTGGTTCAGCAGAGAGGCTGATAAGTCCATAGAGGGAAAACAGAAATAGTTGGACCTCAAATGTACCAAAAGAAAAACACAAATTCCACCCCCCCCCAATAATTCACAACATGAAAAGTGAGGGATAAAGATTAAAATACATGAATCAAAGGAAATAAAGTCTATATGTAAGAAAGAAAAATTCAGGAAGAGATGATAGGGAAAGGCACACAAGGAGTACAGGATCAAAACAGCAGTGACAGACAGGGGCGAGACTAAATCTTTATCATTTTTATACAATACACTTGGCAAACTGTTAATTGCCTCTAAATTGTTAAATTATTCCTCTATCTGGAGTATTGATCCAGGATTTTATTAGTGCATTGGGATAACATACATTATAAAGTTCCAAACTATGTGATAGCCTAGCTCAAGATTTAAGAGTACTTTACAACATCACTTCACCCACTTCAAATTTATTTCAGTACTCCTTATTTCAACTGTAAAAAGCTTTGGATTTGTGAATGTTAGGAAAATGCAGTTGCTAGAGCAAGAATTTTTGAGATTTTATGAAGTGTAAGTTCTCTGCTTAGTTATGCGCTCTTGTGCTTCAACATTCTAAAATCATTTCCTAGCTGGAATTTACTTGAAAGCAATAAGGAGGCATGACAGGAGCATTAGGAACCAAATGCCATCTTCAGTAGATTAGTTTCCTTTTTTTGCATCTCAAATGTCACATAAAAACACCTACCTTCAAAGCCCCACACATGACAAGCACAGTACATAAAGGCTACTTTATCAGGATTATTCACTGTTTGACTTCCTAAAATTCCTGATGTTTCCATAATCAATTTTGTTTTAAAATCTTGTGTTCTTCTGAGAAGCACAAACCTCATCTGTGAATAGAACATATTCATTCACAAAAGCCAGAAAGATGTATTTCAACTTCCAACCCACTAGTTCTTGATTTTGATTCAATATGATAATCACAATCTAACTTCATATTTAGATATGCAGAGCTGATAGGTATTACAGTCATGGGAACAAAGTAAAGCCTAGTGGGGAAAAAAACCTTTATGATTTCACATTAAATTAAGACAACAGATGTTATTATTTAATTAACTTTCTTTTATAAGCTAAGTTGTTTATACAGGGCAACAGGCTGTAAATAACCAGAGAGCTCTTGCACATCTTACAAAGCATTTTTACAGACATAATTGTGGATGCCAACAAGAAGCTATAATTTTCTATTCTGTTCTTAATACTTGATTAAATTGCATAAGTGCATTGACTGCTGCCTCAATATTGCAATGTAATTCCAACAGTCAATTCCCTATCAAAGTGATGTGTGCCTATCAGTGATTATGGCTGTTTATACACCCTGTATGCCCAGTCCTGAAAACTATGCAAACACATGCCTGACACCAGTCACATAGGTTAAGCTATTCACTTCTTTACGGTTAAGCACAGGCTGAAGCCCTAGTCTGAGCAAGAACTCATTACCCTAAAAATTATGTAGTGAGAATTCTAATCTTTATCTTGATTTATGTTTTAGGCAGCTGAGCTGGTAACCAGTGAGTTCTTTGAACAAGGAGACAGAGAAAGATCTGAACTGAAACTCACCCCTTCAGTAAGTTTTAATACTTTCTGAAATAGTTACTAACTTGCATAGGGTAAGAAAATATCATTGGGTACATTCAGAAAAAATAACTATATTTTGCATGTAAAGAAAAATCTTGGAATAAATACTCTGTCTAATAAGGACATGCCATATATTAGACCTTTATATAAATAAAAGCTTTCCAGTCAACTCAGTCACTTTGTATTAAGCCCTTTTCTCCATTTTCTGTACCTATTCCAAAGGTTATTCTGTCAGTCAATTTTCTAAGCAATAGGTATTGTTTTTAATACACAGTATTCAAGTAAAAATCACCGGCTGCCTATGGAAATCAAGATTGTCAGGTTTCGTTTACGATGCAGCTGTGTTATTTGACTTGTCAAATGCAGAAAAGCATTTCTATAGATATTCAACTAAATATAACACTGTGATTGAAAGGATAAATTGGTATTAAGTGGAATACAGGCAGATAGGTATAAAGTGTCAAACAACTAGGAAAAAAGTTTCATAAAGGTTTTCAGTGAACAACTTGAAGAAAGAGACTTATCCAGGTTATCTTTATCCAACATTTCTAAGCATTGCCAAGCCATTGTCTGGAAGCAACAGGAGAAGGATTGCAGAAAGTATTCTAAGGAATTTAATTTGCAAGCCATGACAAATATATTTCCTAAAATAAAAAGACCACTTCAATGGCTCTGACTTATTCTCACTTCAGTAATACTCACATATGAGCCTGTGGTGACATAATGAAGTAAAAAAAGTTAAAGTATGTGGTCAATAACACTCAGATACAGTAAATGGCTTTTCACTTTTTATACTGTCAGAGGTTGCGACATTACTGAATTTCTTCCCTATAGGAGTTTTGTATGTACATCTCAGAAAAAAATGATAGCTATAGTCCAGTAGAAGAGTAATCAGTCAGCCACGGTATTCAGAATTCTGAGGCCAGTTCTAGGCCTGAATAACTGCAAGTAACATTCCATATAATAGGGATGGAAGTGCCTTTCCTGCCTTGTATATAAAATTTGCAAAGTGTGTTTCTCATGCTAGTGAAGCAAAATAGGAAGTTAATTTTATTTTAACACACCCATTAATGTTACTGTCTTTAAGCATCAATCAATTCCAGTGAAAACAGCCCAGGTCCAGCAACCTTAAGAGTCATTTTCAAGTGTGTTATTACACCTACCTTTTGGACATACTGTAGACTTGGTAGAAGCGCAGAGAAAGACAAAAGCCCAGAACTTTCTTCTAGACTTCTGTCTTCTGAAAATCTGCATCTAACAGCCCAGACAGGTGGGAAAGAAGTGTATTGCTATAAATCTTTTTAGTATTGCCTCCATCACAGGAGCCCTCTCACTCTTGGACTCTCTCACCAAGGTATGTAGTGATTTATGGGCCACGAGCTTTGAAGCCATACAGCTTGAAGGAAGATTTTCCTCTCTGCTTGGCCTTTCAGAATTTCAAAATAATCCAGTTAACTCATGTATTAAGTGTTTTATGATGGGAAATAAGGCCAGTAAATAATCCAAGTTCATCAGTTCAAACAGTTGATAGCCAAGGGTCAAAATCATAGATCTCATGTAGAGTTTTACCACAGTAATGAGAATTTTTAAACAAGATCAAATGCTTATCTATTTCATGACATATTGCTATGACAAACCACCTAGATAGGTATCACTGCTAATCAGACAAAAGAGTTGGTAATCAGCAAGATAATGCAATATTCTCTTATACCTCAAGGATTTTTTTCTTGCATTGTGCTCGTAATAATCTGAAAATGACAGTATTTTTCAAAATTACATGAATAATACATAACAGAATTTTCCAAAAATCAAACCTAAGATTCTCATTTAAGACCACAGAGTTCCTGAATCTTACCTCCTGCTCTTATTTAGATACACTGAGTGATACCTGTATGTCAGAAAGAGCAGGCTACTACTAGAAGAATTCAATCAGACATTTAATGTAATGTAATTTGTATAGTCTGGAGTTTCGAGAAGGAAGAGATGGAAAGTAAGTTTCCACAGGAAACATCAACATTGAGAAGATGGGCCCAGAATAAAAATAGACTTTCCAAAGAAAAAGACAGAAACATTTAAAACTTGGCATATCCTAGAGTAACGGAGGGAAGGAACCAGCCCAGATCCACCACTGTTCATTTTGCTGAGCTGGAGAAACCTATGCGAGAAAAGGGAAATTTCTACTCAAAAGTACCTACTTATATTTCTACAGGAGGTTTCTTACCAACTCAACTCCAACTTGTGGAGCATTTATTTTACCCCACAGAATTACAAAATTCAAATATATTCAGCCTACAAATTTCAAAACAAAATTGAAAATAAAGTGTATTTTTCATGCCAGACAAAGCAGTAGGAAGACTACTGCAAAGATTGATTACAGCTTACAAAGTGTTCTGGTTGTGAGAATTCGATCATAGCTCCAAAGTGCTGGATGATGTGTCTGTAAAATACTCCAGTGTAATAAAGCATGACAGTTTTGTTCCCTTCTCAATTCAGGCCATTTTTGATCGGAACAGGAAAGATGAACTACCCAGGTTGCAGCTCGAGTGGATTGATAGCATCTGCATGCCATTGTATGAGGTAATTTTTACTTACTGCTCTTGTAGAGTCCAGAGAAGATTGTTCCTGCCTCTCTAGGGAAAAAGAGTTAGCTTGCAATGCAGCCTTGAAGGCTATTTGAACTCTGACTTTACCAAAAGTCTGAACTCCATGCAGAAATCTTCAGAGTCCCTGAAGGTGGTAACATCTATAAACATAATTCCCCACTAAATAATAAAAGCCGATAGGGCAACCTTTTAGTTTATTACATTTGAGACAAACAAATTCTCATCATGGCAAGGTGTGGAGTGGGACAGCCTTGTTATGTGCTGCTGTCCAATCTGTCCAAATATGTGTTACCCAAAGGGAAGCACAAGGCTGAACCTTTGCGCTCCCTTCTGACTCCATTCCATGTTACGGGGCACTCTAGGCCAAGCTTTTAAGGTCAGTGGCAAATGATTTGTGGTTTAACCTATGTGCTGTTTAACTTGGAGTTTCCTCTTTCAGTCATGCTTCCACATGGACTGTGTGGATGCTCGATATAAGTGCTCAAGTACTACTTTATTAATGCTGTAGACGACCAAAATAATGCTTCTCTCTTTTCGGATTAAGCCAACTTCAGAATCTGACTTGTATAATATAAGCTTCATAATTTTAACTTTTTGTCTCTTACCTGTACAGAAAGCAGAGCTACATAAGCAGGATAAATCCAAAATAACACTGTAGAAATGCAACTATCAATAACCACGTCAGCCACTCTTCCACTTACTCACTGAAACCGCACAGACCACCTTATGCCACTAAAGACTACCAATTTTACCACTGAGAACATTGGGGTGTTCTCGCTAGGCAGTTTTGGGGAACTGAAACACATTCTCCCTGTTACCACTGTACCCTAAACTGCCTCACATATCCAAGCAATGAATGGGTCTGTGATGATACAAAGCCAAGAGGTGGAAAGCAGGTACCAACTCTCATGTTAACACTAAACTGCTGAATTTGTGCCTGAATATAGCTTTTCTACACACAAATAAAAAATGAATTGGCAGTTCTTTTTCATTTTATAGGCCAGACACATCACCAATAACATACAGTGTGCTTCCCTTGCTCTCTATACCTTGTAGCACCTGAGGCTGACACTGTGACAATGAAATGACTGCCCACCAGCAAAGGCAACTCCTGTTGTGTGACATGGACAACATGCACTTGGGTGAACAGCAAGGCGTGCTACTGCCTTGGCAGCAGATCTTGTCCCTTTCTCAGGACAGTCTTTGTCACGATGAAATAAATTAAAGCTACAGCTTCAAATAATTAAAGCAGAGCAAGCACAGAAGAATATAAATCGGTATTTTTTTAAAATGCCAAGATCATTCTGTGCAATGGAGGTGGGGGGATGACAACTGACCTTAGACAACAACTCTTAAAAAGAAAGTTCCTTACAGTATAATAGTACATATTACACTAGAATGCATATTGTACCAGAATTCACATTTGTAATAGCATCTGTAATCCAAAAATGTATGTTAAAGCAGGAAGAACTGATAATCAGCCCATCTTCTGCATGAGGAAACTATATCAGAGCATTAAAGCTCTGGTTAGTTAGCTCCATCTTAGCAGGAGATCTCTGGGGAGTATATTCGCATCTGATTTCCCTGCTTTCTGCTGTCTCTGCATCATGCTGTGCAGCTATTAGCCTGCTGCTCAACAACTTAAAAAAGAGACACCATCAAACCTGGAAGTCATTGCAGCACCAGCCTTAGGGGTAAACAGCAAACTTGATGTCATAGTACCACACTGCGGGAGATTCTCTTCAATGTGGAGCCAAGTTTTAATTTTCATATCCAGCTTAATCAAACCTCAATACACATATCACATCAGCAATGTATTCAGACATTGTAAATCCTCCATTTAGGGCTGGCTGAACATTACAAGTAGGAACAAGTCCTAGATTTTTTTTTTCCTTCTAAATACAATCTTTAAAATTCTAGCCATTGTGCTATGTCGTAGGGACTGCATGTGGGGAGAGAATGAGTTACACCATTACAAATACAACATAAAGAGGCAGAGTGGCAGCTGACAAATTGGTAAAATCTTAGCAGTACTTATATTGCTCACTAGCAAAGTGCTTATAAAAACCGTATGTTTGAAATAAACATTTGACACTCATTTTGATACCAGAATTACAGCATTAAACCGTAGAGAACAAAATGAAGGCTTTTGCAAGTAGTTTTTTCCATCCTAGCGATTAAAAGTCCTGAAAACCATGTGCCCATATCTTAGCACCCAGAGCCCCGAAGGGAACACTGTGGGGAACATGTGCATGCATTCCGAAACAGTTGCTACAGCAGGACCTAATGCTATTTGACACCCTCACAGCAGAGATGGTCCCAGCAACTCCCATTACACTCCCAACTCCCAAATGCTGGCAACTCCCATTAAAGTCAAACAGGAGATCAGCAAAGCACCCTGAAATTTTCTTTGCCTAGGAGTAGGCTACTCTTGGAAGCTGCACTTGTCTGAAGTATGCAATGCAGAAGGAACTCCACAGCCCAAAATTCCAGGGGTGGTCTGACACCACCCCACTGGCCCTAATGCCACTGACAGTACTGTAACAGACCTGTATCTTCTCCACAGTGCATACTTATGAGTGAGGCTACATACCAGAATGGCCACAAGGAACGTTTTATACTTAAAATTTGCAGAGCATTTTAGAGTATTATGGCCTTCCTAGCCTCATTTCTTTTTCCACCATTCTCAAACACTCTGTGGGAGATTTGGCTCTACCTCCTCTCCTTATGCATCTGCTCTCTACATTTCCTTAATGTAATTAAGACAGACCATTTTGAGGTGCAGTTCTTCTCCCAAGGAAAGGACAATGAAGTCTCTTTTATTGGAAGATGTTTATCGCATCCCTCTGCTTACCTGGGTAGAACTGTTTCCCAAGTTTGGACCCTTTCTGTGAGAAGGCTTACAAGTGACTAGCGAAACATCAAGATCTGTGCCACTTCCATTAGCAATCCCACCTGCCCCTTGGAATGCCTGTCCAACTCAGAAGAAGGAATGTCAGGAATACACTAAACATGCTACACCGTAAGTTAACATGCAGCTTGAAGCTGAATGTAGATATATAATGATAGCTGGGGATATTAAAAAATAAAAATAGCAAGAATTATACACAACTCGATTTCTCATATCCAACTGCCTAAATCCAAAACCTTTTTGTGTTTGTTTGCTCTGTTAGCCGACTCTGCTCTTGGCACAAGGTAAGCCATGGCTTGCTCTACTCCCTTGCTCTCGCCCACATCTACAGCTCAGTGTGGGAATCAAGCCACCTCCAATTTCAAGATACCTTAGCAATCAAATCTGCTTCCTTCACAGTATGGATCAAAGATTTGAAGATAAGCGCTTCCCAATTTTTTGTTCATTGCTTTTTATTACTCTTGGGACATTATAATTTTATTGAATTTACTTTTTTGTTACTGTAGTGATCACTGCTCACAGTATTTTTATACGACAGTGGAGTTTTTACCTTGAGTAGCAGAACAGCCATCCATTTACTCTGAAGCTCTGCTTTTAGGGCCTTTAGTTACGCTTTAACGCGTCACATTTGCTCTTCATTCAAAAATGTCACCAAGAAAAGCATTCATCAGTAGAGATGAGAAACAAACTTATTAGAATAATAATTTAAAGAAAAACATGGTTTTGTTTTTTTTTTTTGCACTGTAGAGCATTTCAAATTTACTAGTGCAGCTTCAGGATGAAGTAATCATCCAGGGTTTTTTTTGTTGTAATATTCTGTGAAGGTGAAACACATACAACTATAGCAGAAAATCTAAGACATCCCACTGGAAATAAAAGCACTACAGCTACACTGACAGCTGTGTTCACTACACAGAAAAAATATTCCGTACTTATCTGGACATACATGTTTGTGTAACAGGAAATAAAATATTGATCATTAGACAAATTACCTCTCTGTCCCTCCAGCAAAGAGATGCTAAGAGCTTCAGCACTAACAGATTTCTCTCCTGGGCTCTGTGGTTTGGGTGTACCTAAAACAGGATCTGGCACAGATTTTTTTTTCACTGAACTCAGATTAATTTATTTATGGGGAGCAGACAGAGTGGGAGACCGAAGATCTTACTCTTTTTAATCATTATTTTTCTCACAAACAACATCAAAGCTGCAGCGATTCACATCAAACAAAAGACGCTAACAGAAGCCCAGCTCTGTTCACAGCATTGTTAGGCAGAGACAGTAACACCATGAATAGCAGGGCCAAAGGCCATGCACTCTGCTTCTGGGCAGATAAATACATAGTCAGGTAGTCACTGACAATGACAGCAGCTATTTAAATTTAAGGGAGATGTCTTTGTGGAAGATAAAGAAGCTCGCGGCTTTTACAACTTATGCGTGCCTGAGATTGCCCTGCTCACCTCTACCCTGGTACTCCATTTTAGTGTTATTTTTAGTGCTATTCAAGATTTTCTTGGGTATTGAGAGCTTTAAACATATAATAGTATCTACAGAAGTGAATTTGCATTACTCCATCCAGGATTCTAGGGGGAATCTGGGAAAAGTAGAAACAATTATGCTTAGCCTAGCAAGTACTTTAAATGTTGTGAATGGAATGTAGAGGAACAGAGTTCTTTATCACACTGTTTCCCTGTACTCAGAAAGAAATCTAATCAGACCTTCAAGAGCTCCGATATGCCTGTTTTCCTACAGGAGATAACATTTGGCCTTGTAATTAAATCTATTATTAGAGTATGATGGTGTAGCTGCAAAAGCATCTATTCTACTTCTAAGATTACATGCATAGGGTATCATAAATGCTAGAGCCTTTGAAAAGCATAAGAAAAAATTACACAGAAATGCCCCAAAATCATGGCTACCTCCATGCTTTAACTTCTCCAGTTTGAGTTGACTTTGACTTCTTTGACACATGAATTGCAAGTGCACAGACTGAGATTTTTTTCACCAAAAAAAAGTGTATACTCTAGTTAGTTACAATATAAGGAGGGAGATTAACCTTTCAATTATCTTCAATAGCAGAGAAGAATCACGCTTGCACAGCTACGTCCCAATGCAGCCCTTCCTCAGTTACAACTGCTATCCCTTTCCCTCATTCCTTCAATTACAATTTTACATAAGGAAATATTGTATAAGAAATTCAGTGTTTGAACCACTCCTCTAGAAGTCCTGCTTGTCCACAATGGACTGTATGAAATGGCCAAGTCCTTACTCAAGCAGGAAGCACTGGATGCAGCCAACACAACCACATTTTCCTTCGGATGTTTCTGCCTCTCTATACAGTCAGAACTGAAAAACTTGTAAAATTATTTTTTGTCTATCTAAATGAACATTTTGGCAATGGCTTGCTGTACCCACCATTCACCCATACCTGGGATTGTTGGTACAGAAGTCAGAGCTCAGCTGTTCCATTTTAAGTTTGCAACTAGTCAGGGGGCAGGGGTAGCACTAGGTGCTGAGCTGTTCACCATGAGCAATACTCAGACATTCCCTGACACATGTTCACAAAGTTGTTGAAAAGGCAATCAGGACTAAGCTATTCAAAAGAAATACATTCACAGGAAGCAATTTGATCAGCTGTGTGCGATTCTCGCCAAAATCGGTTTTTTCCTTTACAGCATGTTGAGGGAAGAGAAAGATAACTTTCAACAGATCCTAAAGAATCCATGAAGGTGCACACTTCTGGCAGGGCTTATTTCTGACATTTGATTTGGACACAGAGAGAGAATGCATCTATGCTTCCAGGGACTGCCTGGCTGACAAGGATTAGTAAGGCAGATAGACTCAGGATGCAGCATGCGATACACCATGGACTGAGGCTGCACAGACATTGGCAGATCAAATTAGTCTCACTTTCTGTTGAAATCCAGGGGGTAACATTATCCAAGGAAGAGCAGGTGCAACATATTCTGCTGTCTTTGTAAGAAATTTGCTTCAGAGGAAACTTAATCAGGCCAAATGCCAGTGCTGGGGGGAGTCAGTAGCTGAAGATTATGTTAGGAATAAGAGTTTGTCCCAGAGAAAGGAGCTTCTGGCACTGCAGAAGGATCTTTCTGTAGCCTTGAAAGAGGAACATAACTAGGTTCAGCACTTCTGTTGCCTTGTTGCTTGTCTACTAATGATGAATCTAAATGAGGCCACCTGGAATGAATTCTCTTGTATTTTCAGAAATACTCAGATATTATGACTGTATCACAACTTCCAGTAACAGAATAAACATCAGCAAACTGTTTTTCCTTACCTCATGCCTTTAACTTAAGGGCCTGTGGTTTTCTGCTACTTTTGTACTCAGAGAGAGCAAAGGTGAAGTGCTAATATACAAGAAAGAAAAACCAGGAACAGAAGAAAAAATGCTTTTCTTTGCAATTCCCTTCTAAGTCACTGTTTCATAGTATAATAGGGAAAGGCATAGTTTTGGTGGCTTCAGAGCAAGTATTTTTGTGTCTATGAAGACCATGAACATCTTTTTACAATGGGCACAAAGGAGTGATTCATTTTGCTTTGGGAAATTAACAGAATTATTATTTTTGCTAGGATTTTTGTGATTTGGCAGGATTATTGATGAAACATTGCATCACTCTCAATAAATTTAGGAATTTACAAGATTTTCCAAGTTGCTTAGAGGAGACGGCAGAAACAAGTACTTTTTCCCTTCAAGCCAGAGTACTTCAACTTATTTCTCAAAGTCATCTGATGCCAAAGAAGTCTCAACTGAAAGGGCAGGTCATCAACAAAGGTATTTAGGAGAAAACAGAAAAAAAAACATTTGCCAAAGGCTTTCAGCCTGATCTGTAAGAAAAATAACTCACAATATTACAATTTCTGTTGCTGTCTTATTTAGAATTATCTGCCCAATGTGTTATGCAGTCATGTATGGAAATGTGTATAAAGATCTGAGGAAGTAGATTGAAAAGTTGGCAGATAACGTAGAAGAGACAGCCAATAGAGGGAACTCAAATTATACAGCAAATCTGAAAGAAGATAGATGGATAATTTAACAGCCATTCAGTTTTCAAGAAAGACAAAGCACAAACTACATTGCATCAGAAAAGGACTAGAAATGATGATGGATGAAATGCTTCAAGTAAGTGTTTAACACAACAGAATCACTACAGAATTCCCAGCTGAGGGCAAATTCAAAGAACTAAATAAGCATATGAGACTGATACAGTTTGAAGAGTTTTTCAAAATCCATTTAATAGCAAGGCATAAGACATTGATCAGCTGCTTGGTTAAGATGTTGAAAGGAAGAGTTAGAAACACTCTGTCTCTTGCATGCTTTAGACACAGAATCAAAACCATAAACAGCAGAAACAAATAAGTAGTTGTTTATGAAATAATAACTCTTCCTGTTCTGAGCAAACCCTTGGTTTCATGAAATTATTATGAACAGATGAATCATTTACAACTATAGCAACACATCAGTTGAGCTACTTCAGTAGTTACCCAGGGAATAATACTTCAGTATTACTCTTTCCATTTGACAACATTTGGCTACCAGGAACACTGTACACTTTCCTCCCTGAAGTACCTGGCACATCTTACCAGTGGAGAATCCTACTTTATAATCGTTCCTTTATAGTATGCATGTTTACTTACAAAGGAGTGCAACATCATTCTTGCTAATGTAGCATCACCAGAAAGAAGCATAACACTAATTCACAGAGGAAGAGCAGAACACTTGTGTATGTCTCAGATCCCTTTCCAGTCACAACTGACTTACTTCTACACTGCTAACAATTTCTATAGAGAAGCTAAAAGAAACTCCTGCTTTCTATAAGGGGACTCAGTGGTATATCCCTTTCATCCAATTACATATTTAGGCATCAGAAAAAAATCCCTGGCAGAAATGCAAGAGTAATGCACTGATGCATTACGCACTCAATGATCTGGACCCCTCCTCAGTAAGCTCCAGAAGGAATAAACAAAGTCTCCTTCAACTATGAGGAGAGTGCAGTAATTTACATTTATTCATTAACTCAACAGCTCCCAAGTATTTTTTCTGGAATATAATGATTAAATATGGCCTTGAAGTAGTAGGGCAAATAATGAATTCACGTACACCTACAACCATAGAAGTTAGTCCTTATATTTTCTCTGTATCACTTTATCTT